CAGTTGCCAGGTGATTGGCAATATTTTTAAAGCAGGCGTTACCACGGGTATAGTTTTAGTAGTTGTGGTAATAGGATTGATCATTTTTATACTGGCCAAAGTAATGGGCGGCGGCAAGTAGGTAAAATAAAAAGTTGAAAACAGTTCATTATTTTAAAAATTGAAACTATGTCAAGATTTATGACCGGTCTTTTATTGGGTGTGGGCATCGGCCTGTTGCTGGCTCCCGAAAAAGGTGAAGACACCCGTGAAGCCATTGCAGATACTGCAGAAAACTGGAAGAACAAATGGGAAAAGCTATTGGGGAAGGCAGCTACTAAAGTAGATGATCTGAAGTTGTTGCTGGCTAAGGAAGTCTCGGGGCTAAGTGATGATGTACGTAACCGTATCCTTACGATCCTTGATGAAGAAGGGATTGCAGAACCGAAAGGAAACGGCAGTTATTATAAAGACGAATTCAAACCTATTTAAAGAATAACAGGGGGTGTGAGTGAAAACAGGAAACGCCGTGAGCTATATGCTGACGGCGTTTCCATTTATAAAGCAGGATAACCAGGTTAATACTTTTGCAACAGGATATTGGCGGTAGCAACCACCCCTTCTTCACGACCAATAAAGCCAAGCTTTTCGGCAGTAGTGGCTTTGATAGAAATATCATCAGTGCTTACATGCAGTATATTGCTGATGGTGCGCTGCATCTGCTCAATATGAGGCCTGATCTTCGGTGCCTCGAGCAACAGCGTACAATCTACATTCACCAGCCAGAAACCTTTTTCACGGACCATACTGTAACAGCGGCGCAGCAGCACTTTTGAATCTGCATTTTTGTACGTCTCATCAGTGTCGGGGAAATGCTGGCCAATATCGCCGAGGCAAACAGCACCCAGTAAGGCATCGCAGATAGCGTGTAGTAATACATCGCCATCGCTATGTGCAATACAACCTTTATGATGTGGTATCAGTATACCGCCCAGCCATAATTCACGGCCTGCTGCTAATTGGTGAAAATCGATTCCCTGTCCTATTCTGAATGACATTTTGTTCTTGTGTTTTCCTAAAATTACTGAATTGCGGCATACGCTTTCAATCCTTCTTCCAGGCAATCCATCGCCTTGTTGATATCTGCTGAATTGAGCACATACGCCAGGCGTACTTCATTCATGCCCTTGCCCGGTGTGGCATAAAAGCCGGCAGCAGGTGCCATCATCACCGTTGCTCCGTTATAGGAAAACTCTTCCAATAACCACTGGCAGAATTGCTCACTGTTTTCAACCGGCAACTTCGCCATCGCATAAAAAGCGCCACCCGGGTTAGGGCACATCACACCCGGAATTGCATTGAGGCGTTTCACCAGCAGGTCGCGGCGGGAAGTATACTCGGCATGTACGGTATTGAAATAATCTGCAGGAAGGTCTACCGCTGCTTCTCCCAATATCTGTGCAAATGTAGGCGGGCTAAGACGCGCCTGT